GGGTAGGGTTGCAATCCACATAGTAATGCTCACAATAATCCAGCCCCACCTACTTTATGGGTAGGAGTGTTTACATTAAATGTTAAACCGACTAAACCGGCTTGACTCAATCCGAGTTGGTCAGCTTTTCAAAATCACTGGTCGATTTTGATTTGTATGAAAAAATAAACCGACAACTCGGTTCGGTTTTGATTTTCATGTATAAAAATCAAAATCAAACTGAATCGAGCCAATCCTATATTTTTAAATAATTATTAATTAGTCCCTACCCTATATGTTAAATGTTGATATATTTTATTTGTGTTTTATTTGAATTTTAAAAAACATTGGTTATTTATGATAAAAACTAAAAATGTAACACCAATACAAATATAATACAATGGTACAATATGCAGGCATGTGTTAGTTCATGCATGGACTAGTATGATTATATCCGAGAAAAGAAAAGTTTAAAAGGGTGGCATACGTTTAACATGCAGGCATGTGTTAGTTCATGCATGGACCACCGTTGGATTATGACTTTTATCATGAATTTCGCTATTGAGGTTAGGCTTTAATTTTGTCCCATGGTTTTGAAAATCGGATCAGATGGTTGAATCGGTTGATTCGGGAATCAATTTGGTCAAAAATCATTGATTTGGTTAATAACTCTGACTCAAATGGTTAAATCATCAAATCGGACAATATTTTTTACCATTTATTATTTTAAATATTTTTTATTTTTTATTTTTTTAAATCAAAATGAACCGTTCATTCAAACCGTACAATCGGACCATTTGACCCAAAACCGGTTGCCTGACCGGTTCTGTGTCCGGTCCGGTTTCTAAAACTTGCTTTGTCTAAACTTGATTAAACCCAAATGTTGAGTCACACCCATTTTAGAGCTTGTCTATAAAACCCACATATGCCTTCTTTTTCATAGCATCGTCTCTCTCTCTCTCTCCCCCTTTATCTATCTATATCTATTCCAGTATTCTACAGAGAAATGGATAAGAAGGCTAACAGCTCCCAAGTAGCAGAAGTGAGAAAAGGGCCATGGACCATGGAGGAAGACTTGATTCTGATCAATTACATCGCTAACCACGGCGAAGGTGTATGGAACTCGCTAGCGCGATCGGCAGGTAATCTGTTTCCAACAACATCGACGCCCACACACACACATAAATTAATTTAATCGCTGCATGCCCACCACCAAGTTGTGTTATTGCTTTTTAT